TGATATGTTGTGAGTTAAGGTGCTGTTTCATATAACGGTATGTCGTGCTTGTACTATCGTAGTCTGCATTTCTAGCATCGACTTTCTTCGCGTCCTCGTCCATTAGGGTGCTCCCTCCAACTTGAAAAGCTTCTGACTGATGGTGTGAAACATGAACGAGCGTGAACGACTCGTCTCCGCTTCTCAAGCCAAGTTGAGCAAGAACAACATCCGGTTACCGGATAATTCTATCCAATCAAAACTAATTTGTCTATGTTTGCAAGGCATAGACATGGACGAAAACTTTCCCCGACCAGGGCCAAAGGCCGAACTGCGCCTCGGTTTTCAGCGAATCAGGACAGGTCGTCATATTTTTATTCATCTCAAGTGAGAAGATTCCATTTTATTGCAGGTTATGGGATGATAGAGATTATCGTCATTGCAATTTCGACCTTGAATCAATGATTTGTGCGGGATATCAAGTCATGCGCCATAATTCAATAGGTTGCACGAGACGGGAATAACGATAGCATGGGACGGGGACAAAGATAGCATTTGAAGCGGTGGCGCAATGGTTTAGTGCGACGGCATCAAAGTGATAGAGGAAGGGGCCCGGGTTCATTTCCCCGGCAGTGTCGAACTTTTTCTCGAATAATTAAATTTCGATTTCCTCAAAACAATTGAATACTAAAAACAAGAACACCATTATATTAACACAATAATTTTATGGCTCAGACACAAATCATCCATTGGCTTGGGATTGCCTTCTCGAAGCTTTGGCGAATGGTGTCCGCACTCACCATGTCCCACGCCAATATCGCTCGCTTGATCATTGCCAAGCGCTTCATCGCCGCGCTTAGTGTGTCGAACTCGTCGCCATCATCGCCTTCGATGATATCCTCGGCAAGCCAGGCATCTCGAAGGTAACGCTTGAACGGCCCCATGACGCCAACATCTTACGGCTGGCCGACAGACGTTGCGTTGGCCGGTAGGGCAACCAAATGGGTACTGAGTTCCTCATTGACGATCTAGTACGACTCATCACTGAATAGGTTGTCGAGCAGGAGAACCGACGGCTCGACAAACATGGGCAACAGCAGCGAACGCAGGTACGTCTTCCAGACATCGTCGTCCATCCAAGTCTTGTTTTGCATAGCGTACACGTGCCCCGCCGGAAAAGTTGGGAACTCGTTCTTTTCAATGCGGCCGTCCGATGCTCCACAGATGACGAAGAGCATGGGGAGCTTGGTACCATCTCCCCGCGCTATGACAACGACTGTCATTCGCATGGAGTGCTTCTCTCCAGACGAAATCTTCGCGCCACCACCACGTACGCCCCAGATCTATCGCGGCGGCATGTCGTAGTAAAAGCCCGTCTCATTGACATTGAAGACGGCATCGTGGCCGTATTGTCATTACGAGCGGTGGAACGCTTCGGCGAACTCGTCTCGGACCTCGATGAGGGCCGCGTGGGACTGCTGGCCGCAACCGTCTTTGCGACGAGAGAAGCCGTGACGGTGATAGAAGCGTTGGAGCAGACGCAATATAGCTTGGTAGCCGGTGTCACGTGCTTTCCCGGCAAGATACGTGCGTAGCCAGTCAGTTTGAAAGCGCTTAATCCAAGTGATCATGTGCGCGGATGTGAGCGCTCGCTCGCGCACTCTCATTTCCTTTATGAACTCTAGCAGGCCAACCGGGTCGGGGAAGCTTTCGGGGCGACCGCCTTGGCTCAGCTTTATTCGCTTTTTGTTGACGTCGAAGGCGAGTATGTCGTCCTTTTGGTCGATCCACGACTGAATGGTGCGAGGTGGGATGCCAAGGAGTTTAGAGACGTTGTGTACGTTGGAGGTCTCTACGAGCTCGAGCATTTGTAGCCGTACAGCCATATCGTACCGGCGCTTTTGCGAAGGCGGAGCGTTGACAGGGTGGTCATTGATTTGCACATCAATGTGAGGTGGATTATTTTAAATAATTGCGCGCGGGAGAATATTATCATCATCCAATGAATTGACTGTATTCTGGGTAATGATTGTTATTGGATAAATAGAAAGTTGAAGTCCAAGAATCTTCGACTGGCGAACCATTCTGACTACCGGTAGTACAGTACGAAGTAGGTTATACTTCGAAGTATTTGCGTTTTTTTGCTACTTTGATTACTCATCACTCATGCTACAATGTTGCAATCGCCATATTTCTACTACGTACCGGTAGTAGCTTTCAGCCACAAGTAGTACGGGCACTGTATTTCTGTGAGGTTGCCGTGCACCGCTTGTAAGACAAGCCGTGAGAGAGATATTCGATGTCAAGGTCAAGTACTAAGTAGTACTTTCTTAGTTTGTTAATGTAGACGATCATAAATTATGACTAACTTCCATAAAAGTACCGAAATTTGAGCTGAGTGACTACCGGTACACCATGCGTTCCAGGTTGTTGCGTCTTGTCTAAAGTCCTCAGTCCCTAGTGTGTCTATTAGGTATGGTAAGAGCTAGTGCGATCAAACTGCGTGGTATGCTGCCAATTCATTTGAGGTTCGCTCCTTTGGTCACTTCCCGCACCCTCCTGGTCAACCGATACTTCGACCTAAAATCGCCGTTTTATACACCAGACTCGAAGGTTCTGAAAAAGTGCTTCGAAGTAATCAATTTGGCTACAAGCTGTTCTTGCTTTGGACCAATGGGAGCTAGCCATATCTCAACGCACCAATCAAAGTTGTTCGGTTGTAGTTTGCAACACCCGAAATGATAAGCCCCATCGCAGGATTTGGGCCAAGCCGACCCTTGCCAGTCACTTTTCTACTTCTGCCTGCGTTGACACATGATGGCATTGTTGGATCGGATATTTATCTTGTCAGTAGCAGTCGTCCTATTCGCCTTAGCCCCCGTGGCGACTGCCCAAGAACGAAATGGTGGCATCAACATGGGCCGCAACGATCGCATTGTCATTGTCGGAGGCGGGCCAGCAGGGGTGCACTACGCGACGCTTTTGGTGAAAAAGGGGTTTACCAACATCACAATCCTTGAGCAGTCCCACGAAGTCGGCGGCAAGTCCAAGACGGTGCTGGACCCCCAGGGCGGCTACCCCCATGAATTGGGCACTTGCTATGCCACCGCGTTGTACCAGCCCGTATTCGACCTGCTCAAGGAGTACGACCCCACCAACACGCTAATTCCATTCATCCCCACCGTCAAAGGACACACGTGGGTCAACCGCGACGCCAACCAGTCCGTCGTCGACTACAACAGGTACGCACTTCAATTGGCCGTCCAAGCTGTGGGTCCGTCGCCGTTGCCTAAGCTTATGGCGACTGTGGACGCTGCGTTTGCCAGCTACATCAGCCTCCACACGTCGATCTTGGGGGTGTATGACTACGGACTGCCGCCCCGGCCATCAAACTGGACGCGGTTGAATATGACCGGGTTTGAGTTTCTCAAACAAAACAAACTGCTCGTGCTGGAAGGGTTCTTTCGCTTTGTGTTCCAGCAGCAAGGCTACGGGTCGTTGGACGAGTCGCCAGCGTTTTACATGTTGTGGTGGGTGCATCCCGACACGATTCGGCAGAAGCAAGCCGCGGACAGCAAAGGCCAGCCATGGGTGTACGTGCTGTCCAAGGGGTACCAGTCCCTGTGGAAGGCCATGGTGGACAAGTACCCGAGTCAAATCGACGTTCGAGTCAACACCAAGGTGATTCAAATCACGCGAACCAACCCCATTGTCATCACCGTGCAGACCAACAACGTCGTGCCAGGCATCATCTGGGCCGACCATCTTGTGATGGCCACGGACTTGGGCTATATGGTCACGTTACCGTCGGACTTGAACTTGCGGGAGTTCCGCTTCAGCAAGAACCTGGCATCGTCGGCGTTTGTGGTCACCCTGTTTCAAAGTGATGCGAGTCCGATCGAAAGCGTGTCGCAGTGGTGGCCGAGCCGAGGCGTGGGGGCCGCCGAAGGCCAGCTGCAGCTCACGAGAAACTCGCGGCTTGCCCTCTTCAACCCCCTGCCCGCCCACCGCTTCCCCTCCGACCCCGTCGCGACCAACTGGGGTGTGAACGCCACGGGACGGCAATCTCGCGTGGCGTACCAATTCTTCAACCGACAAGTCCGGACCTCCGACTCAGCCGCCAGCAAGAAGCAGCTGCTCGCCGACTTGGCGGACGCCGCGTTCGACAACGCCACCATTCATACGCAAGTTGTGCACAGCTACTTCCCCAGGTGCAACCTCACGCAGCTGCAGCAAGGCGTGCCGTGGGCCGTGTGGGAAAACCAAGGGCGCATCAAAACCACGTGGATCGGGTCAAGTGTGAGCTTTGAAAGCGTGCTGGACGTGGTCGTGTACAACAACAACCTCATCAACCGCGTCAATATGACGAATTAATAACGTAAATACAGTACTTCAAACGAACAACGTTAAAACTCGTTGACTATACGGTACGTATATGTGTTGGACTTCGAAGTACAGTTAAACGAACAATTGTTTCTGGTTTGATCAAGCATTCATTGCTGCGTGTGTATCCTCCATCCATGCCCATTGTCTTGGAAGGTACATGTAACAAGATTGTAGTACTGTAGCCAGCGTTGGTTGTTTGAGTAGGTGTACCGAAGAAAGCAAACGTTGCACTCCTAAATTGTCCAATAAAATAAAATATTAAAAGATATGATAGGTTATAACTGTCACTTTATAAAAAAGCTTCAATTGATTATTAGCATAGAGTTTCAGAATTATTTCAAACTCGAAAGCTCTATTTCACTTGGTGTATATTTAGTGGCTAGATGTTCTCATTGCTCTGCACCCCATCGTTGGTGATGCCCGCCATGATGAAGTCCACGACTCCCGACATGACAAACCAGGTCTTCCTCGTGTCAAGTGTCGTGGTCTTCACTGTGGCGGGTGCGACATTAGGGGAGGAAAATCATCTTCATGAACTACTAGTATCCGATTTGTCAATTCCAAAACAACAACTACACTTGGGCCACTTCAAATTTTCAATTTGCTATCCTTTACAGCTTCAGCGTCAGCACCAAACGCAATCCGAAAAATATGCGAAATCGACACCAATATACGGTTACTAGCGCATGTACTGTATACAGTAAGTATCACAGTCCCATTCTTGATGCTGTGTGGCATATCGTGTAAGTTACTCCGAGTATCATACTACGAAGTACTACGTAGTAGTACAGTAGTATAAGGTTACGATGAAGAATGGGTCAGCCATTTCAACCACACTGTCTTGTGGTGTACTACGTAGTAATTGTGAGCCACGTCAAGGGAGGCTAATGCTATCCCAACGTGACGTTGGTTGTGAGTTTAGTTGTTTGTGGTCTATGCAGTGGGGGGGTTCAAGGTCGGTCTGGCTTGCCATGAATATTATTATCAGTGCTTTACGGAAAAAGATATTCATTACACTCAAGGTGATGACTTTCAACTTGGTATGCACGTTTTGATGTACAATGGTGCTTCACCTACTTCTTGGTTTTGGTTTTGTTGGCTGTCTTTTTAGACCCCTTGGGGGGTTGGAAGCGGATGAAGCGTTGGAACAAGATGCGGCGGTGTCCAGCCGGAGTGCTTTACGGAGAAACTCGGTCAGTGCACCTACCTCTGCATGTGTACAAAGTTGTATTTGAATTTTGTAAGCATAGTGATACTAAGTAGTAAATCATGCGAACAAATTTAAATACAATTCCATGCGTCAAGTTTGTTGGGTGCGTACACAGAACTATCTAATTGGCTAAAATAATTCTACTTTGAACCAGTCATTTACGTTGAGTTGTTACTTTCCGCATGTCCCATTTTCCAGACAAGTATTGTCCGGCGACAGTCGGTTTCAAGTGTGGGAGGGCAACAATGTGGATGACTTTCAAGATAAAGGAATGCAGTAGTGCATTTCAAGACGTGGGAGTTCATGGCTTCACGCTCAACTAACGTTACTACAGTATAACAGCGACTACTGCTTTTGATGGCTACAGTAACGTTACTGTAATGTGGTACTTCGACTTTTTGGATTTCGATTCGCTGGCGAACTTCGAAGTAACTAATGAAACGCAAGAACTTTGTTCCGCTAACATTATACCAGCATACCAGCATACCAGCAAAAGCAGAATAATGCACTTAGACTAACTACGTACTAGTAGTACGAAGAACTTACTCCCAACGTACTACGAAGTATATATACACGCCATGATTGTTTGTGCGTTTGGTCACTTTGATGGAATGATGACGGCGTGAGTCACCATACATCTGGCGCGATGGTAGGTTTACGATGAGCCAATCAGAGTTTCTATTGGCTTCAGAAAACTTTTGGATAATTGGCCAATCAAATACGGAGACCCTACCTCGCCAAAATAAAATAAATCACAATTGATTTATTTTATTTTTGGAGACCGAATTTCTCCGCAAAGCACTTCCGACAGGCTTGATCATGATGCCCTGTCCATGCATGAGGATCCATACAGTAGCCCATGGCACGTGGTGCACGATAAGGTTAGCTTGGAAAGCGCAATGAAATCGGGGAAACAAATGAAGTATCTGTACCGCCAGCCTTGGGAGTGGTGCGATGGCGTCACGAGTGACCATGAATTGCTCCAACGATTGACGACACCCAGGTGTTTACAATCGACCCATAGTTCCCATGTGAGAGTAAGTTTTGCATATTGCTTCAACCAATGGCCAGTTGTCGATAATCGCAACTGCATACTATATGTAAGCGATGGGCTTGTACATAACCCAGTGACGAGCCACTCTCCACCGACTTGAAGTTGATCTACCGGTACAGTACTGCGCTAGAAGCAATCCCCACAAAAGGCCCCTCTCGCACCAGTACGACCACTACTGGTATCCTCTCGCACCAGCACGACCACTGGTCATCAAGTATCTCGACATGCCAGGTCGCCCCACTTCGAAGCGATTCGTTTGGCTGATCCGACGTCGGTCATCACACCAAAGCAGAAGAACGTGGTCTTACTGCCACCCTCTCACCCGCCGACGTTGTTCTCACGCAAGCATGCCCTAAGTGGATCGTTCTCAATGTCCTAAACTAGCCTAAAACAACAGTGGAGATTCGGCTTTTGGGTACAATTCGGCCATTTCGCCCCAACAGGCGTGGCCATGGAAACCACATCAGATGGTGGTCATGTGGGAGTGCGCACTGGATATCGGTGATGATACTGTCCGAGACAAGTCGGCGACCTCATTACGCAACTTCTCCACCGGCACCATCTTGGTCAGGAAGTATGCCGACATCATCGCGCCAAGATGGGCTCGACACTGAGCACTTGAACCAGTCAAGTGGCGTCGGGTGGACGTACCAAGAGGCGCTATCCCCGACCCCGTCGCTCGATGCCGAGGATGACATCTTCCTCAAGAGCGGCATCACGCCGGAAATGATCCTCCAAAGCCAGCGCAACGATGTATCGATGCAACATATCTACTCGACGGTGTTCACAAAGGAAAACATCCAAAAGCTTGGATTCCGCAACCTCATCAAGCAGATTCGATCCAAACTTGGCAAGACGACCCAAGTACCCACGTGTGAGATCCGCGTCAAGAACGTCGACTACACGGCACCCAACTCGATCTCGGACTCGCAGATCGAAACGCTAGCCTCTGCCTTCCGCCTCCCTTCTTGGGTTGGCTCGCAAAAGCAAGACACTAAGTACATCCTCAAGAACGTGAACGCGATCTTCAAGCCAGGCACCATGACCCTGGTCCTGGGTCCACCCGGGTGCGGCAAGACCACCCTGCTCAAGCACTTAGCTGGTATTTTGCACGTCAAGGGTAACGAACAAGTCAGCGGATCCGTCACGTACAACGGATGCAAGCCCAGCCAGATCGACCTGAGCTCTCTAGCTGCGTACGTCCAGCAAAGCGACAACCACTACCCCACGCTCACGGTCAAGGAAACGTTCGAGTTCTCCCACAAGTGCCTCGTGGGGACAGTGGACCCGAACGACCCGCTCGCGGTGAACGAGCAGCACATGGTGGACATCCTCATCTCGGTGTTTGGGCTGTCCGAGTGCGCCGACACGATCATCGGGGACGACATGATCCGAGGGGTGAGTGGAGGCCAGAAGCGCCGCGTGACCGTGGGGGAGATGATGACTGGTCGAGCCACGACGCTGCTCCTGGACGAGTTCTCCAATGGCCTGGACGCGTCCACGACGTACGACATCGCCAAGGCCGTGCGGACGATGGCCGAAGTGCTCGAGAAGACGGTGGTCATGACGATGCTGCAGCCCCCTCCCGAAGTGTACGACCTCTTTGACAACATCCTCGTTTTGGACAAGGGCGAGGTCGTGTACAACGGACCCCGCACGACCCTCCCGTCGTACTTTCGGTCCATCGGGTACGAGTGCCCGCCTCGTAAAGACGTGGCCGACTTTCTCCAGGAAGTCACGACCCACTTGGGGCCTCGGTACGCCACTTCTTGCGACCGCCTCATCAAAAACAAGCGCCCCGCCACATCGTCCGAGTTTGCCGCCCGATTCCGCGAGAGCTCCGTGTTCCAAAACTTGATGGCCGAGGTGTCACAGACCGATAAGCACTCGTGGAACTTTGCCACGGCCACGATGAGCTCCAAAGTCGCGCTCGGGTACACCGACTGCCTCAAGGTAGTGTTTGGCCGCACACTCAAGGCGTCGCTGCGGGACGGCCGGTTCAACCGGTCCCGCATGATCCAAGCGTTGGTGCTGGGCACCGTTGTCGGCACCGTCTTCTTGGATATCGGGCGCAATGAAATTGTCGAAAACGAAAAGAACTTTGTGCCCATCAAGGTGGGGCTGCTGTACTTGGCAACGATGTTTCAAGCATTGGCCACCCTCTCGGCCATCGAATCGATCATCGCCCGCCGCTCCGTGCTCTACAAACAGTCGGCGTTTCACTTCTTTCACGTGTCTACGTACGCCATCTCCGAGGCGATTCTTGAGCTGCTGTGGACGATCCCCCAAGTGCTGCTCTTCAGCACGCCCTTGTACTTTGCGGTCGGGCTTGCCAACTCAGCCAGTGGATTCGTCACGTTTGCCGGGCTGTTGTACCTGTCATCGACCATCTACTCGCAGCTGTTCAAACTCATCACGGCCGTCTCCCCCAACGCCGTCCTCGCCAAGGTGTATGCGATGCTCGTGTTGTTTCTGCACATTGTCTTTTCAGGGTACATCCTCCCCGAGTCCAAGATCCCCACGGGGTGGATCTGGCTCTACTGGTCCAACCCCATGAGCTGGATCCTCCGAGGGCTGTGCCAAAACGAGTTTTTGTCGCCCACTCCCGTCTACGAGGTCAAGGTCCCTGCCCAGCTCGGCAACGGCACCCAGGGCAAGTTCCGACTCGGGGATATTTCCCTAGACTTGTTTGGGATGTCGACAAACCCAGATTTCACCCCCGGCGCCGTGGGGGTCCTCGTCGGCATCTACCTTGTCCTACTCGGGCTCACCACCCTCGCCTACACCCACGTCCGGATCCGGAGCCGGTTCTCCACCACGTCGGCGGACGCCAAGGCCACGGACGCCGTGCCGCCGGATGCGGTTGCGGTCGTATTCAAGTCGAGTCGGGGCGGCGGCGTCAACAGCCTCCCGTTTGAGCCAGTAACTCTGAGCTTCCGCGACTTGTACTATACGATCGAACTGGGCAAAGGCAAGGACAAAACCACAAGGCAGTTGCTCAAGGGCATCCACGGGTGCTTCCAGCCTGGATCGCTCACGGCGTTGATGGGGTCTACTGGGGCGGGGAAGACCACACTCATGGACGTGATTGCCGGCCGCAAAACTGCGGGGGTGATCGAAGGCGACATGTTTGTCAACGGGCATGCCCTCGAACGACATTCGTTCAACAGCGTGTCTGGCTACTGCGAGCAAAACGATTTGCACGAAGAAACTGCGACCATCCGAGAAGCATTCCACTTCAGCGCCGCCCTTCGCCTGCCCAGCAACACGACTCAAGACCAGCGCCAGTCATTTGTGGACGACATTCTGGACGTGCTGGAGCTGACTCCGAGGGCCAACGCCCAGTACTTGACACTTAGCCAGGGCGAACGCAAGCGCGTGACCATTGGCGTGGAGCTGCTGTCGAACCCGAGCATTTTGTTTCTGGACGAACCCACGACAGGGCTCGACTCCCGCGCTGCGACCATCGTCATGGAGTGCATCAAGCGCATTGCCGAGTCGGGACGGACGGTCGTGTGTACGATCCACCAGCCGTCGACAGTGTTGTTCGAGTTGTTCGACAAGCTGCTCCTGCTTAAGTCGGGCGGCGAGCTCGTCTACTTTGGGGACCTCGGCTCCAAGAGCATCCACCTGCTCGAGTACTTTGCCAATTTTGGCGGTTTGGAACCCATGGCGTCTACGGAAAACCCTGCCACGTACATGCTCAACTGCATCGGAGCGGGCACTGGCGACGCCAAGATCGACGTGGACTTTGCCGCTTCGTACATTCAGAGCAATTTGGGGCAAGCGAACGACGCGCTCGTGTCTCGATACGCCGAACCGACGACCGGTTCAAAGCTCTCGTCCAATCACATGTCGAGGTTGTCGTTTGGGGCCCAATTCAGCTTGTTATTTGGTCGCCAGTGGACCACATACTGGCGCAGTCCGAGTTATAACATTTCACGGGCGGTGCTGATGGTGTTTATGCCGTTGATTTACGTGTCATGCTTCTACGACATGGAAGTGAAAACCAACATGGACGTGCTCAATCAGATGGCGCTTGTGTTTATGGCGGTGTCGATGATCTGCATTGCTACCATGTCGACGGCAATCCCGTTCGTGGCGCGCAGTCGCAACGTGTTTTACCGGGAGAAGCTGTCGGCCATGTACTCGCCCGCCGCGCACTCGCTATCGCTGGCGGCCGTGGAGCTGATCTACACGATCGTGCTGTCGTCCATGTTCTTCCACGGGTTCTACTGGCTCTGCGGGCTCAATACCGACACGGAGGCGTGGGGGGTGTTCTGGGTTGGCCTAGCGTCTAGCTTGGTGCTGTGGTCTTACTTTGGCCACTTTCTCGTGTACTCACTGCCGACGATGCAGATAGCGGTGTTGCTGGCCGGGGGCCTCGCCTCGTTGCTGTTTGTGTTTTCGGGGTTTATGATTGACGGCGAGAACCTTGCCAAGGGGTGGCAGTGGCTGTACTGGATCAGTCCGTTGCACTACACGCTCGAGACCGTCATCATGTCGCAGTTCAAGAGCCAATTCGGACTCGTCGCCGACTTGGTCGTGGGCAAGCATGTGCCCATCAACCAGTACGTCGAAGGGTACTTTCACGGCGCGTTCTCATATGACAACATCAACCGCAGCCTCGGCCTCCTCTGGGTCATCAACGCCGTGCTGCAGGTGCTCATTCTGCTCTGCATGGCCAAGGTGAACCACATGAAGCGGTAACAACATGTGGGGACTACACGATCATACCTTCTATTAATATACTACTCGTAATATTATACCGTATATGCATATGTCGTTGTTTTTGCGTGTCAATGAAACAATACTCTGTTCCTGTACCAAATATTGCAACTGGAGTACTAGTACTACTACTAACGGGTACGTCATACTTCAAAGTGCAACTGCAATGTGGGGACGGTTTTAGCAAAATGCCACCTGTATGTAGGCTTGCGGATGTTGTTTAGCCAAGTAATACAATCTGCCACAACCACACGACACTTGTACGCCTTGTCCAGGTCGAACACAAATGATATATATTGGGCTCACCAACGACACCACACACAGCACTGTCAACGAATTCGTTATGACCATCCTCAGCGTCGACGATGTACCCTTCGAGCCGTTCTATATGGGTCGCCTAGTACCATAATAACGTAAAAGTCCAATTTAAGGTACTTGGTCCAATTTAAGGTGCACGCGAATTAGCCAATCAATTCCTACAAAGGAAGTTTTTAACCTAACCGCCCAAAAAATATGCAAATGGATATACAAAGACTAAGCTCAAAATGGTGCACCTTAAATTGGACCGCTTGTTTTAAGCTTTTGAGGACAAAGTGGAGTTAATGATAATGAATTATAACAGGAATCAAGTCACATTCATAACTCCCGAATAGGCCTGGATTTTGGCTTCATGTAACATATTGTAGAATTATAATCTGATACCTACAAGTCGAGTTACATTCCTTCCACGGCAGCGTCTCGGAAAAAGTGTGCTTAAATTGGACTTTTACGTTGTATGGATTTCAATGTGACTGACTCTGCTAACTTACGGTCGAAATTGGAGGACATTTCACTGTAGGAAAGTGCATCACACGACCATGAGATGAGACAAAACGATGGTCATAAAGCAACTAGTTACCACTTTTTGACAAACTTGGAAGCCATCGACCTTGTATCGTGGGGTTGTTATTAGATTTATGGTATTACTACAGTAGTTATTACGTGGCATTGTCCGGGCGAGGCTGGAAGTGCACTGTGATTGGTCAGTCGGATCTAGTTCCAACGATTGGTTTCGCCGTCGAGCCAATCGTTTCACGGAATTGACTGGTGCTGGGAGATATCCATGGCAGACGGCACTTCATTTAATTCGACGAAACTGAATCGACTACTTCGAAGTATTTAAATGCATACAACACGCAAGTGTCATTTCGATATTATTAAAGCCATCATCTATTAAGAATTACACAGGTGACATGACAGCATATCCAAAAACTCGCCATCATGCCGATTGTAGCCAAATCCACGGCGGCGTTGATGCCCAAACGCAAGCGCAGCGACTCCAACGTCGAAGACAAGCCCCAGAAAGTCGCCCACAAGGGCACGTCCGGCGCCCAATGGCGTGCGAGCCACACCATCGAGGTGATCGGCTCCAACGGCGGCTACGCGTGCCCCGACCCGATCCTTGCCTTCAAGGACACGCCGTTCTCCCCGGCGATCATCAAGTGCTTGGAGGCGGCTGGGTACACTGCGCCGACTCCGACGCAGTCCCAGAGCTGGCCCATTGCATTGGCCAAGCAGGACATGATTTCTGTGGCCAAGACTGGCTCGGGCAAGACGGTCGGGTTCCTCTTGCCCAGTTTCCACCACATCATGCAGCAAAAGACGTCTTGCCGCGACCCGCGCATCCTCGTGCTGGCGCCGACGCGCGAACTCGCGACCCAGATCGAAGTCGAGGCCAAGAAATTCAGCCGCGTGCAGCCGGCGTTGCGCACGGCGTGCGTGTTTGGCGGCGCGCCCAAGTACAACCAGCTCAATTCGTTGGCGGCGGGGGTCGACTGCTTGGTGGCGACGCCCGGTCGCTTGAACGACTTCATCCAAATGCGCAAGATCGACTTGTCGAAAGTGTCCATTCTCGTGCTGGACGAAGCCGACCGCATGCTGGACATGGGGTTTGAGCCGCAAATTCGCACGATCATTGATCAGATCCCAACAAACCGCCAGACGCTGCTGTTCAGTGCCACGTGGCCGAAAAGCATTCAAAAAATGGCCCGCGAGTTCCTGCGAAACCCCGTACAAGTCAACATGGGCGACATCAACGTCCTCCAGGCCAACAAGGACATCCAGCAGATCATCGACATTTGCCGCGAAGACGAGAAGCGCGACAAGCTAGTTACGCTCATGAACCAGATTGTAACCATGACCGACTCGGCCAACACGGACGTGACGCTCCATGTCAAGACAATCGTGTTCTTCCGCACCAAGCGCACCTGCGAACGCCTCGGTCAAGAGTTCTGGGACGCCGGGTACGCCGTCGGGTGTCTGCATGGCGACAAGGAGCAGCACGAGCGAACGCTGACCATGAACCAGTTCAAGGCCGGCACGGTGAAGCTGCTCTTTGCCACCGATGTGGCCGCGCGCGGGTTGGATGTGAAGGATGTGGGTGTGGTCATCAACTACGACATGCCTGGCGGCACCAACGGCATCGAAGACTATGTCCACCGCATCGGCCGGACGGGGCGCGCCGGCGCCAAGGGCATGTCGTTCTCGTTCTTTACGTCCACCGACCAACCATGTGCCAAGAAGTTGGTGGAAATTCTGTCGACGGCGCACCAAGACGTGCCGTCGCAGCTGGCGGACATGGCGGCGCGCAAGGGCAGCAAGGGCGGAGGAAACCAGGGCGGGCGTTTCCGCGGCGGCGGCGGCGGACGCGGCGGTGGCGGACGCGGCGGTGGCAACCGCAAGAAGTGGTAGATACATCTATATTATTCTAATTATAAACATGAGCGTACGTACATCCGTTGTTTCACTGGATTTTGAGATACACAAAACGACCGACGTGCTGTTTCGACAGTGCATAAGCAGCATCTTGTTAGTTTTAGGGTGTCTAGCTTCGGTGGCCGTTGTATTTTACTTGGTAGAAACGTCGTCACATATATCAACCAAGGCGACCCTTTACTATATTGTCCATTTACCCAAACAATTGAACTTCGCCTTGTCCAAAACAAGGATGTTGTCAAAGAGGTCGTACACTTCGGGAGGGGGCTGCAGCATCATCATGTCGTCCCCGATGATCGTGTCGGCGCACTCGGACAGCCCAAACACCGAGATGAGGATGTCCACCATGTGCTGCTCGTTCACCGCGAGCGGGTCGTTCGGGTCCACCGTCCCCACGAGGCACTTGTGCGAGAACTCGAACGTTTCCTTAACCGTGAGCGTGGGGAAGTGGTTGTCGCTTTGCTGGACGTACGCAGCTAGAGAGCTCAGGTCGATCTGGCTGGGCTTGCATCCGTTGTACGTGACGGATCCGCTGACTTGTTCGTTACCCTTGACGTGCAAAATACCAGCCAAGTGCTTGAGCAGGGTGGTCTTGCCGCACCCGGGCGGACCTAGGACCAGGGTCACTGTACCCGGCTTGAATATCGACGTACAGTATATAAAGAACCTCAGGAGCCACGCTGCGATGCAGACTTACATGCGACATATTGAACTATTTGACGAATGTATTTAAGGAAGCAGTAGAGGCTTGGCACAGAGGTCCCACCTATACACTTGTCCTTGCCAAACCGACAGATTGCGAGATTGAACTTGGTACTTTACAGCAGTGTGCAAAACACCCCCAGCCCAAAATGACTTTACGATTGATTGGGTCGAGGCAACACCAGCCCCAGCCCCACCACACAACAAACCGAATCATTCCCATGATTTCTTATTCAAGTTAGCGGGTGGTGTGGTTGATGGCAGTCATGCAATGCAGGAGGAGGAGCTGCACCACACCAATGACCACCCAGAGCAGGACCATGTTGCGCCCAATCATGTCGGGTGAAAACGTGTGGTTAAAGAACCCCTCGACAAAGTCGCGAATGGCCACGTTTGTCTTTGTCAAAACGTCGACGACGGGGGCAGTTTGGTCGTGGTATTGGGCCATGACGATCCCTTCCAGCATGTAGTGCACCGGGCTGATCCAGTACACCCACCGCCACACCACCGCCAGTGTCTCGACGTCGATCATGAACCCCGAAAAAATGAACGACAAGGACGCGAGGCCGCCGCCCAAGAGCTCGGCCATCTGGGGCGTCGGCAGCCAAAACACGAGCAGCTGGCCAATGTACGACCACAGCAGCACACTGCTGGTCATGAACGCCCAGAACCACAACCACGCCCTGGTGTAGTGACCGTCGAGGCCACACAGCCAGTAAAATGAGTGGACGAAGACAGACGACAGCACGACGCTGTAGCCGAGTTCGACCACCGCCAGCGACAAGGAGTGGGCTGCGGGGGCGTACATGTTAGACTGACTTTCGCGGTAAAACACATTGCGGCCTTGCGACACGAACGGAAGGGACGTAGTCATCATAGAAATGCACAAAAACGATGTGGCCACAAAGATGAACGTGAGCTGACTCAGCACGTCCATGCTGGTGGTTAGCTCCATCCCGTGAAAGACCGAGCCAAAGATCAGCGGCACCACGACCATCAGCACCAACCGAGACGTGTTGTACGACGGACTTCGCCAATACGTGGCGCTTTGACGTTGCAGCAACGTAACGAATTGCGTCCCAAACGAATGCGCATTCTTTCTCAAAGGTACAAGCTCTTGGCCTTGCTCCACCAATTGCTGGTTGCGAACGGCAAGGTCGCTCTGACTATACATAGCGGCAAAGTCGACGTCGATCTTTGCCTTGCCAGTTCCGGCCCCGATGCAGTTGAGCATGTACGTGGCGGGGTTCTCCTGCGGTTCCATTGGAGGCAGCCCTTGAAACTGACTAAAGTACTCCAACAACACGGAGGATTGAGGCCCGAGGTCCCCAAAGTAGACGAGCTCGCCACCCGTCTTAAGCAGGAGCAGCTTGTCGAACAACTCGAACAACACTGTCGACGGCTGGTGGATC